AGGAAAAACAGTCAAATCGGGCCCCACGTTGGGCGCCAATTGTGTAACACTCCACACTCTGAGTTCAGAATTTGAAAAATTTTGAAACAAAAAATATGAAGTTTATACTTATGCCTTTGGGCTGCTCAGATTGATACGGTAGGGTGTGAGTTCAAAAGTTACAATTTTACTGTTAAGATGGTAATCGAGTAATATGAATTCTAAAGTTGATTTTAAGGTGATTGATTTGACTGTTCGATATATTTGGGCGCCAGGCTTGCAAAAGACAAAAGCCAATCAGATACTTTCTAAAAACCTTGCTTGGATGAGAAGACAAAACAAATAATATACAGAGAATCAATTCAACAATTTAATTCCTTGATAAAATTACAATATGGCTGAAGGCTAGAAGAATTAAGGATAACAATAATTTGTGAAGTGTGAAGTGGCTGAAGGCCCTAAAATAATGTTGAGAATTATGTAAAAGTGAGGTGGCTGAAGGCCCAAAAATAATATTGAAGATTATGTGAAAGTGAGACTGAAGTGGCTGAAGGCCCAAAAACAAGATTGAGGATTATTTGAAAATACTGGAAAATTTAAAAAACAAGAGAAAGGTAGCAAAATAGATTCAGAACATTCAACTTTACATAGAGCTATTGATCCGATCTGATTCCAATCGAAGGTCTTGGCACTTGGGTGGATTATACCTGGTTGGCCGGATGAATTGTCCAAGAGGGTTTCCTTAAGGTAAATGGGAGTTCAACCTTCAGAGTCAGTTCAGCTTCCAGCTCTCGGTTCTGCTTCCAGAGCTACCAAGTACTTCTTATGATGGAAGTTAGTAGGGTATAGCCTCCTTCAGTTCTGACTGCTCAGTAGGGAATCTCCAGGTGTTACCGTCCTTTACAACCCTCTTTGGTTAACCAGGATCCTCGATGCAGGTATAGACGTAGAGTGCATGCGGAAATATACGAGGAATCAGAAAGTTGTCGACAATGTGATTAAAGGGACGAAAGGATATCCTTTGAACCGCTCACCGAGTTTTATGTTCTGAATTATAATACTTTGGAAGGTAACAAATTGAAATGTGAAATTTTAGGAACTTAGAAAAATTAGGAAGATATGTATATATTCAATTCAACGAAAAAAAACTTGACACTTGAAAATTCAGTCTTTTTTTAAAAAACTAGAGAAAATTGACTCAAATTGAAACCAGAAATAACTGAGAATCAAATCATTAACTCAGAGAAAGATTATTTGAATAATATATATAATGAGATATCCTGGTATTTGATATATTATTACAAAAAAAAAAAAAAAATCAAGGAAAAATTATCATTTGTCTAATGAAGAAACTAAATTCAACTTTGATGAGTTGTCGATACTGAAATTCAATAGAAAAAAATACAGGGTGGCAAGTCCTGTTCAATAGTAAAATGCCTGATAATAGGTACTATTTCAAGTTTGAAGTTGACAGGTAATTTTAGGTAATTTTGGTACAGTTTGTAAGTGAAAGTAAAAGGAAAAAAAAGGTATTTATAAAGATATATATACAGGGTGGCAAGTCCTGGTTCCAAAGTTAAATGCCAGAAAATAGGTAAGTACTTCAGGTGTGAAGTTGACAGGTCTGGAATTAAGATATGGTATATCTGGAGATAAGGAAATAGACATGCATTGACATGTGGTTTGTTGAGTTGACCAAGGAAAATACTGACAGTAAGATAGAGAGAAAAATCTCACTTCCAGAAAACTTGAACTATAGGTTGTGCTTTCGTCACAAGAAGGCAAAACCTATACAGGAACCAGACAAATGTTGACTGAACAGGCTATAGAGAGAAGGAAACCTTCCTCAGGTTGCATTTATTTCTCAGAGAGAATGAAAAATAACTTGGAAAAGAAATTCACAAGTTTTAATAGAAATTAAATGCTCACCTGAGAAAGAATCCTGAGAAAGCACAGCCTGGACGTCAAGGTTCAACTTCAAGGCTCTAGGTCCTGTAGGCTCAAGGTTCCTGGACGGGACACAGAGTAGACTCCAGTTCAGGTTTCCTGGATGAACATCTGAGGAAACTACGATGAAGTTTCGAATTTCCAATAGGTACCTAGAAAAATTTTTGAAAGAGTAGATACTGTTTTCAACTTATTGAATCAGGGAAAAATTAGCAACAAACTGATATTGATAGCAACAATTTATGAAAAGCAAATTTAAGCGACAAGGCAGAGAAATCCAGGTATAGTACTTAACCTTATTGAGCTGAAATAAATGTATATGACTTATAAAATTTGTCAATTTTACGAAAATATCATTACAAAGTGCTAATAAAATATAGAGAGAACTCAAATATCCAATAAGTTGATATCGATGACCAGTTATTACTTAAGAAACCATCAGATATGAATTGTAACCTCAATTTACTCGAATGCAATTATCTCTCACAAAAATGAAATTCGACCAAAAATATATAAATTAATATTTAATTCAATAGATAATAATCAACTCTAACAAACCAAATGTCTGCGATGACAAGTTATTTCACTCGAAAAATAAAGATATAGATCCAGACCTACCAGATATCTTCAATTCACACAACCTATCACTTCAACCTTTCAAGTCGGTAGTTCAAATCAGAAGCACTTTGATTTTCCTATTCGTTCTTCGCGAAAGATCCTGTCCTATCAATCCTTTCTCCTGATTGGTTATTCCGTCTCCCTTCTTCGATCTTCTGTGACGCTGTCTAGCGGGAAGGACGAGCGCGCAAGACTTGATAAATTCGATATGGTTATTGAACCGGTGAAGGGCTGATAAGCGGAAGTAGATAGAAGAACGAATGGACGTCAGATAATTAAATGGTTTATTGATTGAAAACATCTCAATGGAACGGAATAATCGTTACAAAATATAAAGTGGGGTGTTTCCTAAACATTGCTAAAATTTCTGAAGGTGTTTCCTGAGGTTTTTACTCAAAACATGTTTCAATAAATATTTGTTCAAAAATACTTCCTATATGAGTGTGTTCTGCCCCTCAAAATAGAGAAACCTGGAACGATTTTTCCTCACAATTTTTGAAACCATATTTCATAAAAAAATCATAACATTTGGTACATCCTATGTTGAATCAAAATTTAAACTTAGAATTTTGAAATTTCGATGGCGTCATTCTGGAGTGGTTAACAATCCCATTTTTCATGTTTGTTTTCATGCTCTGATAACGAGATATGATACTTGGAGATGTTTAAGGTGGAAAGGTATGCCTAGTTGATATCAACAGGGCTAGTTGATTTCGCGAAAATTACAATTTTTCTGCATCAATGCATCGGCACCCTAAAGACGGGTTTTTCTGAATATTTTCGAAAGGAAGAACCTTCTCACACTGATATCACTCTTTATAATTATCCAACACACCCTCATCAACATTAAATTGCAGCACATACACAGGCAAGTGAATGTTCCTCTTTCGGAAGTAAATTTCAATAAAGAACTCAATATCATGAAACAGATTGTCGTCAACAACGGATACAACGTTAATTTGATACAGTATTCTTCCTAAAAAATTTCATGATGAAGCTATTCAAGTAGTTTATCCTACTATCAAGGATAATATTCAAAATTATAGAACTTTAACCTATTTCGGATCACCAACTGCGAAATTAGCTCTATTTCTACATGAACAGGACTTGAAAGTAGCATATTTAAAATGAATAACACGTTGGGAAGGTTTATCAGGAATAATTAAGACAAACTCAACTGTGGATCTTGTCCTATAAGGTATATATCGGTCAGACAGGTCGTACGTTCAATCAGCGCATTCATGAACATAAGATACTTTTTTTGGAAAAGTGAACACATTCAACATACGCCATATATAAAAAGAGAACCATAGTTAAGATGATAATCCCGAAATTCTAGGAGAAGAAAATGAAGGAATGAAACTCTATTTATTTGAATCATCAGATCGAGAATCAACAGACTCAAAAATTCTGACATTTTACTCAACGATCAACTAGAACTCAATAGTTCACTACTGTTGAATTTGTTTTCTTAGAAGGTAATAATATAATATGTATCTGCTATCAACTCATTCAAGTTAATCCGGTACACCGTATTTTAATAAAAATATTGGGCCTAATTACCGAAACTGAAGGTTCATATCGAACCTGTCCACAGGTAGCTGATGATCCTTCAAGTTGGGAAAGTAGGATATATAGAAGTTAGGCAAGCCAAGGTTAGTTCAGTTCCATGTACCAGTTTGTCACCTGATGAAGCTATTGTGTTAACGAAATATGTCGTGTGTTTTTACATTTTTTCATCAGTACTCTCAGTTCTACTTCATCCACCTCGCGAAAATATTACATGAAATGAAAATATCTTCATTCAGATTTCCCTCGTATTGTCCAAGAGGTATTGCAAATACTGACCGACCACACAAGTTTTTACAGCGTGTCTCTCTTTGAACCCTTCCCTCCTTCTATATGTCAGGTTTTAATCATGCAATTCGTACCAATTTCTTGTGAATTATATTTTTTTTTTTTAGGAAAACAAACTTCATATTATTGTTCCTTGTGCACTGGAGTCTCAATATGTCAAAAATCAATGCATTGCAGAGCAACAAGATTGGCTCCATATTTTTCATTTTCTGCCTCGAAATTGTGAATTCAAATTTATTGCAAGTTCGTGATCATGACGAACAGTATAATAGAGTCAGCTTTCATGTAAACAAATTCTTGATATGATTTCTTAGAAAATTTACTCTTTATTTTCGAGAAAAATGCAGGGCACTGTCAAAAATTTTGAAATTTTCTGAAACACTGATTATACTCATGATTATTCACAGCAGTCAAAATTTTATAAGAATTGCACGACTATTATAGCGACTAATAGCTTGGTGAAGAGGGGGGCCTACTGAAGTGAGACTGGCTGTATACACCTGAAACGACACTTAGGTATATCTTAGGATGAAATCATTTCATAACAGTATTTTCATCTCCTAATATAGGATGAATAGAAATAGAAAAAGGATATTTACTTTGGATCTGATATCATTTTCTCTAGAGCTGCTGACAAATTCTCCTCGGTTAAGTCGGTAATATCCAACACTACAGCGAATCCACCATTTTCGGCTAATCTCGCATTCAATAGTTGATCACCAAATATGGGAATTGCTATTATAGGTACTCCATGGTATACTGTCTCAGAAGTGCTCAAGAATCCGCCATGAGTGATGAATAATTTCACATTGGGATGAGCTGAAAACAAATGAATCAATAAAATGATAATATCGTTATTGGGTTTTCTCAATTCCACGCCCTGTATGATGTAGATCAATTCTTTATTTACTTCTCATATGTCTAAATATGTTGTTCAATATTATCTTCATTTCTGTGAATCAATTATCCCATATCTGATCTAATAAATTGACTTTAAATCAAGCAACAACAACCCTTACTGTAGTTTTTTTCAAAGAGTTTGATTATATGAATATTGAGGAGAATTTGTGAACGTCGTTGTCGGAACTGTTAATTATCCATACCTAAAATATCAGACTGTGGTAACCATTTGCTGATCCTTACATTCTCAGGCTTTCCAGGCAAAACGTCATCCTCCCATTTCATGAGAATATTTTCTTTTCTTTTAGCAAAAGCCTTCAGCAAAGCTTCTCTAGTTGACACTGGCAAATCAACACTCCTCACGTTAGATCCCAGACTGTACAATATGGCTCCTTCCTTAGCATCGTCCAGATACTTCTGTAGATCCACTGGTAATTTCTTTGGTGGTTTGATATGGAAACCTATAAATATTCATTTATGTGTCATGATGAGAACCGTGTATACATCATTATCATCCAGGGTGCAGAGACCAAGAACCATGGAGTATTAACTGTATTAACTGTCGACTGTTATTTTTGTATCAGAATTATTCGAACAATATTCGTTTGTATCAGAATTCTTCATTGAAAATATATGTGAGAGTGAAATCGAAAAGAATGTTCTGGTACTTGCATATCTCCAAGAAGTATTAAAATGAGGCATCCATCTTTGAGATCAATTTATTTATTCTGCGCTAAGCATGACAATAAAAATGTGAAACAAAGGTTAGCAAGCAATGGAATGGACACATCTACAACCAATATCACTTATACGTGTCTCGCTAGTTGCATGCAGTTGCATGTATTATGTTCTCAATTCCCATTCCTTTCGAAATATTTTGTAGGTTAGCAGGAATTGCAGGTATGTTAATGTAATTTTTGGAATTCGTAGAAAAATCATAGTATGTAACGCGTTTATAAACACCCGTTTATTAAACACTCGCTCCGCTCTGCTCCGCTCGTGCTTGAACTACTCGTTACTAAAAGGACTTTTATAACACTTGTTACATAATATACTATTCACGGTTGAGTTAATATATACGTAGTATATGAGTAGCATTCTAGAATTGGTTATGCAGTTCAAATCGTCTCCTGAAGATGCTAACATGGTTAGCGAAACACGTCTCAAGGCGTTAAGAAATCGATTTGGTTAGTTCTAAAACAGAAAAGAGAATTCAAGTTCGAGTTAGATCCGGAAGAATATATCGGGTGGTCACAAAAAAACCGAAAGTTTTTATTTTCCTCGTGGTTTCATCATTTCTCAATCGAATTCGAATTTCTTAGCGTCGTTTCATAGCTTAAGGGCTATAGTATACAGTGGAATATTTGAAAATTTTATAATGAACAAAAACAAAATAGCGGATTCTACCAAAGTATTGTCATTTACAAAAACCGCTGGAGAGAAAGAAAATCAGATTTTTTTCCAACCTGTACCGATGTCATCTTAGGCTATTCATTTCTGAAGAGAATGAGTACTCGAACATCAAAATCGAACAAATAGTCCAGTAGATACATTCATTTATTTGCAATTTGTTATGGAGTGAATGTGCGAATGTGTGTGAATTGAACATTTGAACATCTAATAATTGAAAGAAACAAAATGGTGGAGAATCCAGAATTTTTGTGATTTTCTAAAATCTCTGGCGAATAAAAAAATGTTGATGCTTCCAATCAGGGCCGACACAATTTTAGACCATTGATTTCAAAAAAGAATAAGCGCTCGAACATCTGAATAGAACAATTAGTCCAGGAAAAACACGTTCTTTTTAGCAAAGTGTTATGGAGTGAATGCGTATATACCAATCCCGTGATAAGAATTACTTTTAGTTTGCTTCTGGCTTTATCAGAATTCAATTATATTTGGATTTCTCAATGCCATTCCAAAGCTGAATAGCTGTAGTACACAGTGGAACATCTGAAAATTTCATAATTGAAAAAAAAAACGAAATGGTGGAGTAGGTAACCCTAACTTTCGTGATTTACAAAAACCGCTAGCGAATAGAAAAATGTTGATATTGACATCGAGATGTAAGTCCATGAAGATTGCGTGAAACCCTGAAAATATATAAAACTTTATACTAGTTGTAGTCGAAACATAAAGGATTTTGAAATGGCCTGAATGTGTCCCCCTTTTGCTTCAACTACGGAACTGAGCCAGCTCTGTATCGACCGGGCTATTCACAAATGGAAGAATCTTCGAGAATTTGGAAGACTTGAGGCGAAGAATCACTTATTGCTGGGAAAATGAAATGTCTTTGTTAAAAATAGCCTGGTCAATACAGAACTGGCGTAGACGGCTAGTTATTGTTGTTGAAGCAAACGGGGGACACATCCAGGTTATTTGAAAATTCCTTATGTTTTAACTACAATTGGTTTGAAGTTTCGTTTATTTTCAGGGTTTCAAGTAATCTTCATGGACTCACATCTTGGTGTGACTCTAATCTTGTTATTCGATTTTTTTTTTGTTACGTTGTTATTGCTGTTAGTATGTTCAAATTTCTTTTGTTATGTTAGTTTGTTTCATATTTCCTCGTTATGTTGTTGTTGCTGGTAGTATGTTGTAATCAGATGGAAATTCCTCTTCAGAATACTCAATTTTTTCGCAATTATGGAATTTTCAGATGTTCCACTGTGTACTAATCAATCCAAATTCGATTAAATTCTGATAAAGCCAGAAGCAAACTAAAAGTAATTCTTATCACGGGATTGGCACATTCACCCCATAACACTTTGCCGAAAAGAACGTGTTTCTCCCGGGCTAATTGTTCGATTCAGATATTTGAGTGCTCATTCTTTTTAAAAATCAATGAGCCTGAAGCAAAATAATAATCGTTTACTTATACGAGATTAGCACATTCACTCCATAACAAATTGCAAAGAAAGGAGTGTATCTACTGTACTATTCGTTCGATTTCGATGTTCGAATACTCATTCTCTTCAGAAATGAATTGCCTGAGATAACATCGGTACAGGTTGGAGAAAATCTGATTCTCTTTTTCTCCAGCGGTTTTTGTAAATGACAATACTTTGGTAGAATCCGCCATTTTGTTTTTGTTCATTATGAAATTTTCAAATATTCCACTGTATACTATAGCCCTTCACCTATAAAACGACGCTAAGAAATTCGAATTCGGTTGAGAAAAGATGAAACCACGAGGAAAATAAAACCTTCCGTTTTTTTTGTGACTACCCGATAAAAGACAACGAAGAATGATTCTTCTGAATGTTGAGGAACCATCATCTTCAAGAGAAACAGGAGAAACCGAGGCTAGCTACTTTGCGAAGAGATCCAGAGTTGGCAAGGCAAGGTGTTATACGCTGGCAAGAGACGCAGTTACCTGCATGGAATGCAGAATTTGGATATCTTAGAGCCATCAAAAGTATTTATGTTTGCGAAAATTTCAAAAGCAATTATAACATTCTAGGAGGCAACAGTGATTAGGAGCAGTGACCTAAATTTTCTAGTAATTGCTTGAGTCAACATTTTTCATTTTTTAAAGTCAAATATATATGATTATTTTCTTCACCTGTCAACATTTGGCGTTTTTGTTGTTTCAACCAATATCAATGCGTAGTTCTAGTCAGTCATTTGGTATCATACTGATGATTTGTTGAAAAGTAATTAAAGCAGGAATTTTTGCACATTTGGATATTCGTTTGAATGAAAACATGAAGGGGCACATTGGTAGGCGGTTTTTTTCGACGAACAAGTCTGTTCGAACAAAAATGACACGAAACCGAAGTGCTGCGGAATGATCGTTCTCGCTGGGAATTTTGCAAAATAGTTAAAAAAATAGTCACGCCGAATCACATTAGTGGTAGATGTTTTTTTATAAATTTAACTATATAAATAAGCACTCGTTTTTGTCGCCATTGAGGAATCCCAAAAATGCATGCATCTAGTTAAAATTATCATAAAATCACCTCCACTCCTCTAATTACTGTTGATTACATTTATAGTAAAAGGATCCAATGAATATTTATATCGATGTTTTCAGAATGCAGACTTTTGTTAGGCACTTTCTGGGACGGCAAACTCGCGTCATGATCACCGCACCCAGTGTTGCCAGTTCCACTGAACTTTCAGTAGATCTACTGATTTGCAAATTGATCTACTAAAAAAATAATACTCATTGAAGTGAATACTTCTATCCCAGGTAGCACATCATATTGGCTGGAACCCGATTTCATATTGGGCCGATATAGATATATCGTACATGTGAAAAATGATATAGGTCCAATATGAGAGTATATTGGACAAACAATATTGGAATGATGATATTGGTGGAATATTGGTTCAACCTGAGCTGAATATGGATTGTCAGCTACAATATTGGAGCAATATTGGTTGTAAAATTCGTTAACAATGTGTTGAAAAACATGTTAATGAATGTTATATAATATTGATTTACGAATGTCGATACAACAACATCGTATACATATTGTTCCCGACATTTACAACCAATATTGCAATTTGAACATTTTCCCCATGTCGATTCTGAAGCGGTTATGCAATATTGTATATTCAAGTTAAACGTCATATCGGTTGGATATTGTTTTAACAATATTTGAAACATTATATTCACCCATCTTGATTGATATCATTTTATCTATATCATGCGGAAGATATCATATACAATTTGCTTCTTACATTTATAACCAATATCGCGATTTGAATATTGTCCCCATGTTGATTCTGAAGCGGTTGTGCAATATTGTATATTTGAGTTCGACGGCATATTGGTTGAATATTGTTTCAACAATATTCGAAATATCATATTCACCCATCTTGATTAATATCATTCTATCCATATCATGCGGAAGATATCGTATACATATTGTTTCCAACAATTATAACCAATATAGCAATTTGAACATTCTCCCCATGTCAATTCTGAAGCGGTTATGGAATATTGTATGTTCGAGTTCGACGGCATATTGGTAGAATATTGTTCCAACAATATTTGGAACATAGAATTTACCTGTATTGACTGATATCATTCCAACTATATCATGCGGAAGATATCGCACACATATTATTTCCAACAACTTTAACCAATATCGCAATTCAAACATTCTCCCCATGTCGATTCCGAAGCGGATATACAATATTGTGTAATCGGATTCGACGGCAAATTGGATGAATATTGTTTCAACAATATTTGGAACATCGAATTCACCTATATTGATAGATATTATGGGGAAATATCGTATACATATTGTTTCCAACAATCATAACCAATATCGCAATTTGAACATTCTCCCCATGTCGATTCTGAAGGGGTTTCCAATGATTCAAATATGAATATCAATAACGGCAATTGAAATATTGTATACCAGATGTCCCTGTAGTATATGTAGATGTAAATGTTATAAGATGAAGCATATACTTGGTAGTATATTAGGTAATTTAGTAACGTACG